TCTTCAAGAGCAATAATAAATAGAATGAAAAATCCAGAACAAGCACAACTAAGTTAGTTCACCTTTTCTGAGGGCTAGTCCACTTGCAGGATTTTACTATAATGGAGAAAAATTTCATCATACCCCTCACATCCTGAAAACAGGCTCTCATAAAAATCCTTTACACAGTACAAATATTAGAGTGAACTAATATATGTATTTCACACAACCAATATAACACTCCAAAAAATTTCATGGTCCGGGGGTTAAATTAAGCTTCAAACATCCATCAAATCTTTAGTCCAAACAAAGATAGGTCAAGTACCAAGAGAAACTTTAACGAATCCCAAAACCAGGGTAACAAGTCAAACTTCCCCAGCAAGTAGAAGCTTTCCCACTCCGTTTCACCAAATATTAATTACATATTCATGTCAGTTTGGAAATATGACCAAGAAAACGAACAATGGTCTCAATGACCAAATGGGACTCAAGAAGGAAATCTCTCTCCCTAAGGAGAACAGCGTGTTACACTGTATGAAGAAGATAATAATTAATAATACAATCTCGGTGGCACAGATATTCTAAGAAATTTTCTAGGAGCTCGAGACTTTGCAAAGACCTCCTGGAACAGAAATCACAGGAATACTGAGGGCTGAGCAAATTCAAAAACACCCAAATTGACAAATGACTTGCATCAGATGCACTTGCATTTCCAAAGCTCTTTCCATTAATAACTACACAAATCAAGGCCTTATAATCATAACATCAAAAAAAAAATCCCTAATGAAGAACCATCAATTTTGTCCATGAGAGCCCCAGTTGACTTCCTAATAGTACAAAATTATACTAATGAAAGCTGCAAAAAGACAGCATAGGATATTTGTAGGCAAGGTGAATCCAAAGAACAATCTGAAAGAGAAAATTGGGTGGTCCAAAAGGCCCATTAGAGTGACTTGTGAAGAAAAAGCGACCGGGCGACTTCTTCAAAGCTGGAACCTTATAAAAGATCATCATCGATGGCTAAGAAATCATAAACCTTCCAAATCTCAAAACTTTTGGACGGTTGACTCTTTCATTAAGTTACAGACAAAAAATTAAAAGGTAAAGTTACTAAAGAAACGAAAGGGGGGGGGGGGGGGGGGG